CCTCTTTCGTTTCTTCTGCCTCATCCTGTTGAAGACTGGCTGAGATATTTTCTACATTGGGGGGCTGAAGAGTCATCTGCCTCTCTGACATAGACTTCTTTTTCTTCTTCAGGGAAGTCTGTATGAGGCAACATACAAAATATGGTTTCAGTAACTTTTAAGTTGTTATGTGCTCAAAACTATTTGTTTCCCAGCATAAAGGAAGCAAAGCACTGTATTTCCAGTGAATTATTATAAATGATTATTTTTCACTGGTTTCTAGTTTTCTTTAAGCGTTTTAATAATTTTAATTTTCACATTGTTATTCTTCAGAGGCCAGTGGGAAACTTTTGCCTGAACACAGCTTAACAAATATTTTATAACAGTAAAAAAATCTGTTTTTGCCAATCAATGCTTTCTCTATATTTATATCCTACCTTTCTGTCAAGGATTTCAAAGCTGTAAAACTTCTTTTAAACTTTTAAGAAAAAATCAATTGTCTTAGGATTTTAAAGATAGAGTTGATTTCACTTATGACTCTCCAGTTACTTCAAACTAGACATTTTTTACTGACTCGTTGAATAAATGATCTAAGCACAATTCCTCCAGCTTGCAGCTATCAATTTGCCTCACATTTAGACAGGAAAAAAAAAACCACTTCATAGTGGAAATGTCCAGATTTATAAAACAGGCACCTACCACACACTGTTAAAGTACCTTTAGCTGATGCCCAAATATTTTGTATTGCAAGTGACTCAGATCATGTCTCACCTCGTTAAAAAAAGGTAGATCCGGATGGATGAATTAGATCAGCTGTGTCCAACACATAGCCCTTTTGTGGCCCTGGATAGCTAGTAATGCTCCTCACAAAACAAAAAATGTAACAAAAAAGTTTGTTAGCTATATATATTAATTATATTATAGTTTATGGGCAGCCCAAGACAATTTCTCTTCAGTCAATGCAGCCCATGTAAGCCAAAGGTTAGAAAACTATGAACTAGTCAAGGGTCTTCAAACTTGACAGCTTTAAGACTTGTGGACTTCAGCTCCCAGAATTCTTGAGCTAACATGACTGGAGGAAGAATTCTGGAAGTTGAAGTCCACAAGTCTTAAAGCTGTCAAGTTTGAAGATCCCTGAATGACCATAATATAGAGAATAATAAAGTTAATGGGAGATCCTGACCAGGCAGTTCCCCCTCAATTCTTTGCCCTAGGATGCAGGAAGCCTTATTCCCTGATTTATGCAGAAGTCACACATATTTGAAGTTGGGGTGTGGTTTATCTCTAGACACGGATGCACCACGGAAGACAGGAGAACTAAAACAGGGTAACTATTACGGAAAGCAAGAGCAACATAGTTGGAAACAGTATTTTAGGTTTGTCCAGTTACTACATTCATAATTGTCCAAGCCGGTGAGAAGTACTTGAATCGAAAAGAGAATGGTCTTTTCTTAGTTTTGGGAATTAACCCTAAAACGGGGCGGGGGGGAATTATCTAAAGAGCCTTTCACGTGTATTGACCCAGGAAGCCTCCAGGAAATTGCCTCCAATTCTCACCTTAAACTCGCCCTGGCCACGTTAGCTCGTTACCCTTCGGCGGGAACTAAGTCCAAAACGCCTCTTACTGTCCTCTTCCTCCAATCCGTGAACCCACATTTCTATCAAGAGACTGAAAGGATCCCCTTGGCTGATCTGCAGAGGGTTCCAGTGGTACTTTCGGTGCTACTTTTTCAGCTTTTAACTACCTCGAGCTTAGTCCTTACTCGTAGCCTAAGGCTGGAACAGAAAGGCATCACGGCAAAGGCCATCCTTATGCAGAAGAACTGCAACGGATCGTTAGATAAGCGCAAGTATATCTCTCTCTGAACAGTTGTGGGAATTTGGAATTTGGAATTTCCTTCTCCTCCCCTCCCCTCCCTCCCCCACCCAAAAAAAAATGAAAGGGGGAAAACCGAGACTTACCTTTCCGCAGAAAGTTAGTCATGCACGTTGCTCCGTCCTTCGTCGTGTGAAAGGAGACAAAGATTATATTCAGATCCTATCTTCCTAAAACTAAACTGAAACTTTAGATAACTTCCTTGAATCCGAACATACAACTATCCCAGAATCCTTAATTCCTACTATCGTCCGAATGATTTGTTCCGCAGTACAAGGCCTTGCAGAGGGATGCTGGGAAGTGTAGTTTTTCCCTCCGTTCTTCCATGACTATGAGAGAAAGCAATTCATGGGAGCCGCCTTTTCAATAGCCGATTCGATGACGTTTCGTTGTAAGGTTGTCTCCTCGGCCAATGTTCATTCTGTTTTATGGAGGATTTTTTTCCTCACTCAGCAGCGCCGAGTGTTATGCCTTATCTCTTGAGCAAAGACGGCATAGCTATATAGAGTGCTGATAGCTGTCTTTGGAAGGACAAAATATTGACTTAAAATGATAAGTAAAACAGGGCTTCTGCTTTTTTAATAGTTATGTACATATGGATGAAAACAATCGAAATGTTGCTGCTTTTGGGTAAATTAGAACTGTAGAGTTTTGAAAGCAAATGCATTGTTGATTCTTTGTCCCAAGGTGATTGCTGTTCATAAAGGAGGTGTGTTTGCAAAAGAGACAGTGAAATAAACTTTTGATATAGAATTCTGAATTATGGGTCTTTGCACTCAGCTATGATGGATCATAGCTCACATGAAAGTAGGAATATGCAAATATGTAAAGACAGCTGGGTCTCACAAAGACCAATACTCTTGTCTGACTTCCTTCGGAAGTCAAATACCAAATAAAATGGAAGATTGGGGATGAATGGCAGATGAGAATTACTGAAAGGAGAAATTATCATGCTTGTCTTAATTTCAATCTTTCTGCAGAGTTTTGGTAAACAGGGATAGATGAAACAGGCCATATTTTCCAAGCTTTGTTCCTTTCTCAGCCATTTCTTCAAAACTGCAAGAAATTGTCCCAATAGAAGAGGGTTGCACTATGGAGTTTTTGTTCCTCTCTGAATTTGTTTACAAGAACTGTATCAGGATGTATGATATGTAGTTGTTGGCCTGAGCCTAAACTGGACTTTGTTCTTACTGGTGCAAATAGCCAATAAATGATGCTGGAACAAGGAAGGAAACTTTCAGCTATTTCTTTCATTCTTGGGACAGAGGTTCAAATTAAATGCTGTAAGTAAAAGGCAGCTCAGATCATTATACAAAACATTTCTTTGTACATCTATGTGTACATGTACATACATGTACATCTATGTGATTTCCCCCCCCCCCCAAAGGTTGATGTTTACATTGGTTGACTACCTTTATCCCTTTTGGTGCAAATTTACATTTATTGTATTTAATACAAGATAGCAGAACCTTTCCTATAGAAATTATTGCCTTTGCGGTTGCTCCCTTCTCTATTTTCCATTATTTTATATTCATTATGATTTTATTGTCTTAACTTATCATCAAATTATCACCTTTGAGGTATGGAAAAAGATAACCATTTTGTACACTTAAGCAACACACTAAAGATCTGGAAATCCAACAAGATTGGACTATCCTTCCCAAGAATCTTTATTTGAGCAATCAAACTTTTCCTTTTAAAGCAGTGGGATATTTATATCAAATAACCTTCCCAACATTCAATGGGCATTAACCTTACCATGCTGCAACAGCACTTTCCACAGCACTTTTGGAGGGCCAATACAAAAAAAACCAAAACTCCTAGCAGCTGGGATTGTGCTCCTGTGGACAAGGGGCCATTGAAACGATAGCTCACATCCTGCTATTGTACTGTACATTCTATAAGGATTCATGGACTCCATTTATAATACCATACCTAATAAAATATCCAGAGAATACTGATCACTTTTATGTGCAACTGCTGTTATCATATCAATATGAAGTTTTTCTGAATGTGACTACTTCTGTTATGCTGAATGCAGACTCTAACTGTCCACTGATAACCCACCACCATCGCAATATATTATTTTGTCATTTATTTTCTACTATTTTTAATGCTTTATTTGTAATGTTGGTTTGTGACAGTAATAAAATTGACTTCAATTACATATTTCTAGGTAGCCTTTTGAGGGGGTAAATTTTTTGAATAATTCAGGTTTTTGGGGATAAAATAAACTTTTGTACATATAAGAATTTATTTAAGAACAGTTACATTCAAACTGAGTTTACAGGAATTTTGGAATTGCAAATAGATTTAAGGCTATGTCCAGGCTAAATAAACTCTTGACCATGAAGAATTATACTTGAGAAAATTAAGATACAATACAATAATGACAGCAAAGCATGAAAAGAATATATTATTAAATACAGAAAAGTATTAATTCTGCACTCCTACATATATAGTCTTGTGCACACTGATTTGGAATCACAGTTGTGCATAGAAATTGATAGATAAATGTGCCCTGGTAGAAATTTAAAAGGCAAGAAATAACTACCATAACATGCTAAATATTTAGCTTGGTATGTTGAATCTCATAGTAATCAAAACAGGTACTATTGAATAAAGCTATCATTTCAGTGTGTATAGCAGGATCTGAGATGGATGTCTTATCTATTATTTATTTTAGAAAAATGATTGCATTGTCCAGCACACATCTGTGAACTTCAAAAAATACTGAGACCTTGAGCATGCAAGGATTGCTGCATAATAAACCTATTGAAGTTAAATGTACATAAGAGTTTAAAAAAAGTCCAGTTAAGTTGATATTGGCTCCTGGAGACTATTAGACACGTTGATGCAGGTCTTTTTGGCTCCTAAATGCCCAAGTTTTTTGTCATTACCTTTTTCTGGGGTTCTTGTTCAATTCCCTTGCTTGTCTCCCTTTAATAAGTGTGGTGAATATCAGCCTTGACAAAGTTAGCCAGTTGCTAGTCCAGACCATAGAATCTCAGTATTATCATTCTGGTTTATATAGTAGCAAGAATAGACAATAGTTCTTTATTCCTTGAATTTGAATTGCAGCAGCCTTCTTTGGAAATTGCAGTTTCCAAAATATTGTTTTCCAAATAATGTTTTCCTTATTAACAGATGGTATACAAAGATGCAAAATTAAAATATCTATTTGGTTTGGCTGAATCAATTGGGAGGTTACTTTAAAATTTGCCACCTCCTGTTGACCTATTTACTTTTTTAAGCAGATGCTGGGCTGAGCCAATACTCCTTACTTGATTGTGTACTAGATACTATGTGAGATACTTATCTGGGCTTAGTTTTCGGGGCAACCCTTTTTCTCGAGACAACCCATAAGAGGAGAATAAAATGTAGCTGGTCTTACTCTCTTTTTTTGTTGATATCCTGTTTGTTGTTCTCCTCGGAAAAGGAAAAAGCACAGATGACCGGGCCAGGAGCGGCTGTCCGTCAAAAATATAGGACCTTGAAGAGGATCAAATTAACTTTCACCAAGGGAAAGGATTAAATCGACTGCTTTGCTTCTGGTAAGAAGATACAGGGGAAGAGGACGACAAGTAAGGGGGTAGAAAAAACGTGGAAGAGTTGAGGAGAAGTAAGGAACAAGTGCAAAGAATTAAACTACTACAATATTGGCCTTCATTTCTCTTTTCAGCCTGCAGCGTAAAGTGAAAGTTGGTTGGTGGAAATCGATTAAAAAGTAAGAAAGAAGAAGGCGACGCTGCAGGTCAGTCCCCGGGGTGGCCGCGCACACCGGCGATAGAAAAACCACCCAGAAAGGATTGGGGAGGCTAGAAGGGGCCGGAGAGACGACTATGCCCGGTGGAAAGTTAGCAGCCACCTCGGACTCCCCCCGCCAGAGCGAGGCGGGCGGGGACGAGGAGAGGCTGTTCCTGTGGCACGTGACGCCCAGGCCGCCTCTGAGGAAAACCGACTCGCAAAATGGCGGCGGCGGCGGCAGCTTTCGAACGTGCTTCTCCACCCCACAGGGCAGCGGCGGAAGCCATCGTGGTCGTCGGGAAGTGAGGTTTTCTGAGGAAGTAATCGAGCACTCGACCCCGAAGACTACGCCGAGCCCGCAAGGCTTTGCGATGTCGGAAAGACGGCTTACCAGAAAGGCTGCGAAAGATGAAAAAGAGGCGGCGGCGGCGGCGGCGGCTGAAGAGGAAGAAGAACGTAGCATGGGGTTCCAACCGGAATGGCTGGCCGAGAAGGAAGGAAGGACCGAGCAGCAGCAGCAGCTCAGAGAGGAGCTACTAGCTGGATCTTTCAAAGGTAAGAAATCAGCGCTGGCTTTTCCACGCTCACTGATACCAGTCGGAGGCCAGTCTGCTGGTACTTCGACGCTCGCTTTTTATTTTGGTACTGTTTAATTTAAATGCCAGTCCGTGTCTTTCTTTTAGGAAATGTTTCGATTTCTCATTTTTCGACTTCTCAGTCTATTGCCATCTACAGGTAGTCCTCGACTTACGGGCACAGTTGAGCCCAAAATTTCTCTTGCTAAGTGAGACAGTTGTTAAGTGAATCACTGGTTGTTAAGTGAATCTGGCTCCCCAATTGCTAGTCAGGAGATTTCAAAAGGTGATCCCACATGACCCTGGGACACTGCAACTGTCATAAATGTGAGTCAGTAGCCAAGTATCTGAATTTTGATTGCATGACTACAAGACTGCTGCAATGGTTGTAAGTGTGAAAAATGGTCGTCCCTTTTTTCAATGCTATTGTAACTTTGAACGGTCAATGAATGAACTGTTGTAAGTTGAGGACTACCTGTATTTTCTGGGTGACCTCCCCTCCAAGTAATGCAGGCCAAACAGCCTTAAAAAGGCATCCCTGGCCAGATGCTGCCATCTGCTGAAAACAGTGGTGCTCAGTTTCAAAATTTCAAAAAAGCTTGCATTTTAACAGTGTGACATAGTGGGCTAAAGAGAACTGTGGGGCAGTTTAGTTAAGTTTGTCCTTCTCCCTTTATGGGAATCGAAAATGCAAGCCAAATCTTCTGACTCGGTTAATTGCAGAACTGAGATGTACTGTAATAGTTCTGTTTTTTTAGAAATTTGCTCTAAGAAGCTTGCAGGAACTGTGCTTGCCTCTGGTTCGGCCATACCCAATTGAATCTATTCATCATAACTTTCCAAAAATAAAATTATACTGCTGGTGATTTATGAATTGATAGTTACATTCTGTAGGAATACATAATAAAAGACACCATGAATTGGTAATATATCTTTGTTTTTGATTCTTTTTAAAACTATTGGTAATCCCAGTATATTGTTTTCCAGTGCAATTATTTAACATCTTGCTAGCAATAGCAGTTTTTTAAAAACATTTCTGAAATATGAGACAAAAGTGATTTTTGCTGGTAAAAATCACAAGAGGTGTCCACAGATACTTTAGCACCTATAGCATTTTATAGGACTAAGAATGATATAATACACTGCTCAAAAAAATAAAGCGAACACTTAAAACACTTAAACTCCAAGTCAATCACACTTCTGTGAAATCAAACTGTCCACTTAGGTAGCAACACTGATTGACAATCAATTTCACATGCTGTTGTGCAAATGGAATAGACAAGAGGTGGAAAACATAGGCAGTTAGCAAGACATCCCCAATAAAGGAGTGGTTCTGCAGGTGGTGACCACAGACCACTTCTCAGTTCCTGTGCTTTCTGGCTGATGGTTTGGTCACTTTTGAATGCTGGTGGTGCTTTCACTCTAGTGGTAGCATGAGACGGAGTCTACAACCCACACAAGTGGCTCAGGTAGTGCAGCTCATCCAGGATCAATGCGAGCTGTGGCAAGAAGGTTTGCTGTGTCTGTCAGCGTAGTGTCCAGAGCATAGAGGCGCTACCAGGAGACATGCCAGTACATCAGGAGACATGGAGGAAGCCGTAGGAAGGCAACAACCCAGCATCAGGACCGCTACTTCCGCCTTTGTGCAAGGAGGGACAGGAGGAGCACTGCCAGAGCCCTGCAAAATGACCTCCAGCGGGCCACAAATGTGCATGTGGCTGCTCAAACGGTCAGAAACAGACTCCATGAGGGTGGTATGAGGGCCCAACGTCCACAGGTGGGGGTTGTGCTTACAGCCCAACACCGTGCAGGACATTTGGCATTTGCCAGAGAATACCAAGATTGGCAAATTTGCCACTGGCGCCCTCTGCTCTTCACAGATGAAAGCAGGTTCACACTGAGCACATGTGACAGACGTGACAGGGTCTGGAGACGCCATGGAGAATGTTCTGCTGCCTGTAACATCCTCCAACATGACCGGTTTGGCAGTGGGTCAGTAATGGTGTGGGGTGGCATTTCTTTAGGGGGCCGCACAGCCCTCCATGTACTTGCCAGATGTAGCTTGACTGCCATTAGGTACCAAGATGAGATCCTCAGACCCTTTGTGAGACCATATGCTGGTGCGGTTGGCCCTGGGTTCCTCCTAATGTAAGACAGTGCTAGACCTTGTGGCTGGAGTGTGTCAGCAGTTCCTGCAAGACAAAGGCATTGATGCTATGGACTGGCCCGCCCGTTCCCCAGACCTGAATCCAATTGAGCACATCTGGGACATCATGTCTCTCTCCATCCACCAACGCCATGTTGCACCACAGACTGTCCAGGAGTTGGGGGATGCTTTAGTCCAGGTGTGGGAGGAGATCCCCCAGGAGACCATCCGCCACCTCATCAGGAGCATGCCCAGGCGTTGTAGGGAGGTCATACAGGCACATGGAGGCCACACACACTACTGAGCCTCATTTTGACTTGTTTTAAGGACATTACATCAAAATTGGATCAGCCTGTAGTGTTTTTTCCCACTTTAATTTTGAGTGTAACTTCAAATCCAGACCTCCATGGGTTGCTAAATTTGATTTCCATTGATAATTTTTGTGTGAATTTGTTGTCAGCACATTCAACTATGTAATGAACAAAGTATTTAATAAGAATATTTCATTCATTCAGATCTAGGACGTCTTATTTTTGTGTTCCCTTTATTTTTTTGAGCAGTGTAGTCACCTCTAGAAGAGATAGGTGGCACACAAATCAAATAAATATCTGGATATTATTTGTTTGTTTATGCTTTATTTTTAAAATACTTTCCCTTCTATATTTAGAAGAATGTTCCTCAAGTGAAGCCAAAAACAGAGTGTCCAACAAAAAATTTAGTGGCAAAATGCAAATACAGACAGGTAATATTGGATTTTCTTTATGATAATGAACATTTTGTTAATGATATCTCACTTAACAAATGTCTCACAAAACAGAAATTTTGGGCTCAAATGTGGTTGTAGCTCGAGAATTACCTGTACAAGGATCAGTTTCCATTTCATTATCTAATATTGAACATACTGAGTTGTAAGGACAAGGATGGATTGTGAGTAAAATCTTGAAAAAATGTTATTTGTCTTATATGAGTTGCATATCCTTTAAAAGAGGTAATTTAGATTTATTTTCTTACTATTTTTATTGATGGGAAGAGGTACAAGTTTAATGCTAGTAGAAGATACTGGATTTTTTTTTCCTAGTCTGAATTGTTCTTACATATTTTTTTTTTAAAAAAAAATCTTTATAAGTGATTCAGGATTGTAAACATTCATAGTAGTTCTTCCTCTTAGACAAGCGGACTTAATATACAGGTAATCCTTGACCTACGGCCATTCATCTGTCTAGTCACTCTGCCATGAAGCCCAGATTGGGGGAGTGGGGAGAAAGCTGCAGTGATACTTGTCATTCTGGAACTCTGTCCCATCCTCCATACAGATCTCTCAAGTGAACATCAGGTTCTTGGTCATCTCTTACTGAGGCTCTTCTCCCCCGATTGCTCCTTTTGACCATGTAACCAGCTCTTGGAAGAGTCCTGGTTGTGCCAAACTTCTTCCATTTGAGAATTATGGAGGCCACCACTCAAAGTTATGATGCTGAATGAAGGGATTTATGACCTGAACCTGAAAATACGGTTGTTACAGTTATCCATACAGCCATGTGATTAAAAATTCAGGCGTTTGGCAATCTGTCTGCATTTACAACAAAGTGGCACTGCAAATCTTATCTGTATATCTCTCCCACCCCCCACTCCCACCCCCCACATACACACACACATCTCAGCTGCCCACTGGACCTGCTAACCCAAGTAAAGATGCCCAGATCCAGGAAGTTTCATCGCCATCCAGCCTGCCAGGTTAAGTAAGGCAAACTTATGAGTGCAAGCAAACTGCCCCACTTAATCCTAGTCGTTTTTCTGCAGCTGCTGATAGGTTGCCCAATCTATGCAAGGCAGAAGGAGGTTTCTAAAACACCATGAGAATAGAGCCCACTATCATGGTGCTTCAGAAGCTTTCTTTTTCCAAATTGGCCAATTTGGAGAAGGGGCCTTTTGAAACACCACAGGAGCCGGCTCCATTTTTGTGATCTTTCAAATGATCCAATTTGGAGGAGGCTTCTGAAGGATTGCAAGCATGGAGCCTGCATGAAGGATGGTGCTATGTGGCCTTGGTATACAGTAAAGACACCACCTCACACAAACTGGACCTTTCTGTCAGCAGCTGGAGAAAAATGGCAAAGGGGGCAAGTGGGCAGCACCTTTCCAACTCATGTAATCCTGCATCAGGCCATCTACGGCTTTCCCCACTTCCCTGAGGCATACTGTATTCCTTACCCGTGACTGTTTAACAAGCAAAACCAGGAGTGCAGACTGAGCAAAACAGTCATTGCTTAACGCCACTTCTCTCTCCAGCCAAGATTCCAATCCCAATTGTCATAAGTAGCAACTATCTGTATTGATCTTTTTGCTTTGGTATCAACAAGTAAACATATACAATTTCTGATCTTTTTTTTTTCAAGAGATCAGTATTGCAGTGTTTGGTGCCAAGATCATATAGTGTGTATGGATGTGTATCTTCAGAAAGAGAGATACACACATAGCACAACAGATGCACTTTTATGTACATGTAAATAAGTTTGCAGGAAAATGTAGCACACAAAAACATGTATTTTATTTTATATATGTATAAATTTGTAGGAAAAAGGCATATTATTAAAAAACCTAGTGATTTTTTTAATATATAAATATGTATATACTATTTCTCATTTTGTCAAGGGGGAACTAGAACTGTAGGTTGTTTTGTCAGATAGGTCTAGGCTGGAACAATTTTTTATTTCATTTGTTCCTCTTTTCTTCGACAGAAAATACTAACATCAAAATGTCAGGTGTCACTCTCACTCGACCGCCTATTAGGACTTCAAGAGAAGGTAAATAAAACCTGTGGCAATTTAACAAAAAATCTCTGTCATTTAAAGGGCACAATTATTTAGGTTCCGTTTCGATTTGATAAATGTTTCCACAGGTAATTCTGGAGTATTTAAAATGTATATGTTATATTGAATAAATTGTAAGTTGCCCAGAATCATTGACCAAGATGGTGGGCATAGAAATTGTACAAATAAAAATAAATAAAAATATTGTATAACAGGAGAAAAACATGGCATAAATATGTTTAACCACGTTTTTGATTCATGTTTCCACCAAGTTTCCATTTATATTGCTCTGTTTAAATAGTTTGAGAATTTGACTTTCATTTGACTCCTTGATACAGAATCCCCTAAAATGGCGCCTTGAAATATTTTAGATTTCAGAGTTTTTTTCTTCAACCAGCAGTTTCATGATCCTGACATAACTAATTTTCAGCAAGTAACTTTCATCACCTTCCAAGGGATTATGAAGATAAACATTAGTTTTGAGACAAACATGATTCCTCTTGTAACATTTTGAGTACAGTCTACCTCTATTTACTTGATCCTGGATTTTACCTCATAGTCTGCCTTCTTTTGCCTCACGCTGTACAGATAGTACTCGACTTACAGTAGTTCATTTAATGATTCAAAGTTATAACAGCATTGAAAAAGTGACTTATGACCATTTTCACACTTAAAACCTTTGATCATGTGATCAAAATTCAGATGCCTGGTACCTGTTCATACCTATGACTGTTGTGTCACAAGATCAGGGGATCACCTTTTGCAACTTTTGACAAGCAAAATCAATGGGGAAGCCAGATTCACTTAACAACCGTGTTACTAATTTATCAACTACAATGATTCATTTAACAACTATGACAAAAAAAGATCAAAATGGAGCAAAACCCACTTACACAAACGTCTCACTTAACAGAAATTTGGGGCTCAATTGTGCTCAAAAGTCAAGGACTACTTTTCCTCTCTTATTAGGATTGTCAGTTACAAAATTTTTATTAGCTTATCAAAATGTAAAATATAAAGAAAATGAAAATAATGAGAAACTAGGAGAGGAAAAAGGGAAAAGGAAAAAAAGGCATTGACCTCCCACTTTTTTTAGCATAATAGAAGATTAGTAATACTATAGCTTCAAATTTTTACTTTTAGACAATAATAAGTACTAGCCATTTCTATAACAACAAACCCATCAATCATCAAAATCAAAGTTTCATTCATTAAGTGTTCTTTACTTAGAACAGAGCAATCACTTTAACAATCTGCACTCCCCCCACCTTCCTGCGAGAAATAATATATATTTCTGTTTGTACATATTTTTATAAACTATCATAATTATATTAACAACATTTACTAATTCAAATTCTTTAACCTTAAAGGAGAAAATCAATTTTTAAAAAAAACACATTTTAAGACGAGTCTAGACTTTTCTTTGAAAATATTTCTAAAATCAATAAATTCTAGCACATCTTTTTTACTTCCTTCTAACATTCATATTTTCAAATTTATTTTCATTTCACAAACTTTAAGACCCATTCAAGCATTGTAAATGGAAAAAAATCAAATCACTTTATAAACAGAAAACTACATTGGAACTTTCATTCAATTACATATATTAGACTTGTAAAAATCCATCCTAACTCCAGTAGCCTCATTAAGTTTAAGTCACTCTCTCCAGTTTATCTTCATAGCATAAAATCATCTCTCTGGAATGTCTATCAAGTCTTTTCTCAAAGAATTCTCAACCTTGTTAGTATCCATAAAGAAAAAATCCTAAACTTGTCCTCTTGAGAATTGTGGATTTGTTTGGAGCTCTTGTTTCAGTTGCGCTGATAGGGTTATGTTTAATCCATCATCATAATAAAAATTGATATCAGATTTGTATTCCAAAATTGCAGTTAAATCCTTTGCATTGTCAGATATTTGTGAAATTGCCTCAATTGTTTGATAACCTTCTATTCATAATTGCATCTCTTGCTCTTGTTTTATATCATCTGTAACAGGGGTGTCAAACTCAATTGCATTGAAAGCCGCATCAGAGTTGTGTTTGACCTGGGGGTGTATGTGGCCAGAGTGGACATGGCCAGCTCGACATCACCCCTGTCAGACACCTGTGATGGCCCGGGTGAGCGTGGGGGGATCCTCCTGCAGCCCTCTGCCAGGGAAAACGGAGCGCAAGAAGGCCGTGCACAGCCCTCCTGAACTCCATTTTCACTGGCAGAGGGTGGTCCTGGGGGCCAGATCTAAGCACCCTGTGGGCTGGATGCAGCCCATGGGCCTTGAGTTTGACACCCCTGATCTATAATATTCATATCTTCAAACACCATGCTTCTTTGTTTTAGCTTGCTTCCAGCAACCCTCTTTCTTGTCATTTAACAATATAGTCTCAAAAATGGTGCAGAGCTTCAAAAAGGAATGAGTGGCTGTGACTAAAAAGAATGTCTTTTAGCTAATACAGATAATAATTCCATAAATTGATTAAGAAATGAAGGCACAACTTATTTTCTGTTTGAAAAATAAATTCCCAAACATCTGCTATAACAATGAAATAATTGCAGCTCTGTACCTCAGCTGAACGCCTCACACGTTGCTCCAAAGCTCAGCTTCTAAAGCTTCTTTCAGACTGCTGCCATAAGGAGCCTCTGTGACGTAGTGGTTAGAGTGTGCAGTAGTGCAAGCTACTTCTGCAGCCAGCTGCCTGCAATTTGGCAGTTCAAATCCCACCAGGCCTTGAGGACTCAACCTTCCATCCTTCAGAAGTGGTACATAAGTCTAAATACTTTTGCTATAAGGAGGATTTTGTGAGGTGATTCTAGGACTCTCTCTAATCCAGGAGATTCGTATAAACAAAAGGAATCCTGATCCTTCTGTCAGTAAATTAAAAAAAACAACAGTCCAGAGAGAAAAAACTCTGGGGGCGTCAACCATCAGCCATGTTCACACGGAGTCCCTTATTAGGATTATCATAAAGATTAGACAAGACACTCTGCATGAATAAATCCAATTATTTTTCATTTTAATTCAAAAGACTACCCATGTTAATCTGTGGGAAAAACAAAACAAAATTGTATTAACCTTAAAAATGAAAGTAACTTTCATCACCTAATTGATCTTTATTCAGCTGATACATAACAATTTCCTAATACAGGAGGTTTCAGTGAGGTTAATAAGTTCTACGAAATGGTGACGTTATTCAAATCCACACTGTTCATGGTATTTCTATGGAAAATATGATAATTAGTTTCAGTTTGAGAAAGATAAACAATGATAACTTTTTAAACATAATTTTTATATGAATATTAACAAAATGTTACAGTAAAGGATACAAATTAATATACCTAAAATTAAAGTTTGTGGTTAACAAAATCACAGAATAGTTATAGAAAACAAAGTAAAAAAATCTGTAAATTGAGGCATTCCAACATCTCCTATTTTAATCTTATGACCACATTCATGTCATTCGGTTACATCAAATTTTTGCTCTAATGTAATAATGAGTCTCTTATTTTTAAGTGTGTAATGTTTTCCTCTGACAGGAATTTTCTCCATTTTGTTCAAATAAAGATTAGCTGCATCTAAAACTCTCACTATGCACATGCTTGCTTTAATTGCACAAACACTAGATTCCCATTAACTGAATTTGGTATCACATTAAATGTGATTTAGTATCAATTTACAATTCTCATTAAATCAAATGTCACAGGTTTTTTGAACTTGCACTAACTGTGACTTACTATATAGGTAATCCTCCTTCCCCGCCCGTAACTCCTGAGCTCAAGAGATCTTTGAGAGGTAAGCAAAGAAGAGGTTCTAGGGCCTGGTGGATGGGAAGCAGGCCTGAGACCTGTAGGAACCCAGTGGGAGGGGGAGCGGGCCCAGGAGTTGCAGGGATCTTGCTTGGCGGGGGAAGTGAAGCACAAAGGGTGGGGAAGGCCTGGAGCAGAGGCTCCTCATGCCCTGCTTAATGACTTGCACAGTCATTTAACAACAGCATCAGGGAGTGGAGGTTGTTAAGCCGGTTCTGTTATGGTCATCGGTCAAGCCCATGTAATAGTACATGTGGAAATAATGCATCTCCCAGCAACTCTCAATGTGTATTTTATCAGATTGAAATCAGGTGACTTTGTAGTCACTTATTGATAACAAGTGATAACAAAGGTTGCTAATTTGCCTTTGATACATATTGGTGGGTTCTAGGAGACAGATAGACAGAGGAATCTCTGGTTTTATTTGTGCACGCCTAGATTATGTCAATAGTCTCTTTGACAACTATTCCCAATTCCTCGCTCTGTTCCCTGGTTTTAGTGCTGTTTTGGGCCTGCCAGTGAATACTCATGTTTCACAGTACAGGCTTTTTTTATTAACTCCTTTTTTTTTTTAGACAAGCAGCTAAAACTATTGATGCTTGTGTTTAAAGTAATCCAGTCACAAACTTCAAATATCTATTTGTCCTTATGTCTCTTTACAGTCCTGTTCACTCTTTAGGTTTCTTCGAGTAGAGCTTTCTTTCTGTTCGCTGTTCCAAGAATACAATCTTCATATTGTGTTCTTAAAGGAATGAGATCCTTAAAGCGGGAAGAACTTTAAAAAGGGTTTAAATACCTGACTATTCAACTACAGTAGTAGAATATTGTAGGGTATGGTTAGTCATCCTACTGTCATTAATCTTGGCAATTCCTAGGTTAAGACCTGCTTTTTTATTATGGATATTTTTCATCAAATCTTAAGGAAGCTGTTTTAAGTACACATGGTTGCTGTGTTTTATCTTATTTTTTGCTGGTTTAATTAACTAGCAAATTAATTTTGGATGGAATTTTGTAATTGGTGAATAAATATTTTTAATCGGTATCTGTTCTTGCATTTAGACATACTGTAGTAATGAAGAGATGGGACCTCTTGGATTATATCTCTAATATGATCATTTGTTCTCCTATTCAGGTTCTTTTTCAGATTCAGTGCAGAATTTGGAAGAATTAAAGCACAGAAAACAAGGTATTTATTAATGTTGTGCTCTGTCATGTAGAATTATGTTATTTGATTTAATATATAATATTTGCATATCTATATTAACTGTACTTTTTATGATCTGCCACTATAAATGATCATTAAACTGCCACGTTGACTGGGTTTTAAACGATAATAGAGGACAGGCCCTCTATTGGTTTTTCTGTCTTTCTTATTTTTGGAATTGAATAACTAAGACTATAGCTTTATTTTTTAAATTTAAAAAATGTAAATACCATTTTGTATTAACTTAAATGTTCTTTTTTATTATCATAAAATGCTTATCTGCAGATCCAGACCTAAAATATTTTCATTCATTTCTAGAGGTTATAGTATTTTCTAAGTACTATAGACTGTTGGATTTGATTTTGGAAGAGTTGCTTTGAAATGCCAAGGTAACACCTGTGCAATCCTGGAAATGGAGGTGGCAGTTTAATGAATTGTTCTCTTGGTTTTCTGCATGTTTTGAAGTAATTCTTCAAAAGTAAATCTTTAGCATTGTACTGGTCTAGTTTCAAGGATAGGGATAGGGAATCATATTTTGCATCTCTAGTAGATATTTTCAAAATCAAACAAAAGTCTGTGCCCCCAAGTTATTTTAAGTGTAAAGATTTTTTCTTGTTATAAAGGAAATTCACAGATTTGTTAAATGCTTAAATTAAGCATTCCCATGATTCATCAGATTATCTAATCTCAGTTATATCAATTTTGTCTGAATCATAGCAAATTATGGTCTTACCCTTGATATATCTAAAAAGATGTATAATTTTTTGGGTGTGTGTGTGTGTGTTAGTGTATGGTATATATAGCCAGGGAAGTCTATAATCCTTTTTACTCTGGCAGTCTAAGATTGCTAGTTTGTTTTGTTCACACATGCGCTCCATCCATGGCACACCACAGAGAATGAACTACAGTAGCTTTGCACCAGCTGGCTTGCAGTGGTTTGTCGTATTTCTTTGTTATTCTGCTAGATCTAAGATATATGACATTTCAAACAAGCCTCTTTTTAATTAAACTAATGGGGTTTGATTTTAGAATAGTTGGATTAGAATATGTTTTAAATACTTTTTCATGTGCTAAAATATTTAGCATTTCAACTCCTTAAGAAACACAAAAATATTTGAGAGGGACCACGATTGAGAGGGTGGGAGTTACCTGTGCACATAAAGCCAGAGCTCTACCAGGATTACTTCCTAATATGCTTGGATAAATGGCTATTGACCTGTTTAAGCAAATTGGAAAGTTCAGAATATAGTCTTAAAGGGCTCTAGCTTCTGCAAAGCAGGTCACTTGCACTACCCCTTTCCTCTCTGCCTGGATAAACAAAGCGCAAACCATATCTATCTATTATCTATCATTTTTTCCCCCACTTTGCTTGGAAAAATTGATAACCACCTTGTCAGGGTAGCAGCAAGTTCTTTGATGATCCTTCTTTGTCTCACAAGCTGGAACCCTGTCACAGCCAGATCATGCTGACTGTTCAATTATTTATGCAAAGCAGAGAGGAAAACATGGGGTAAGGTCTGACAGGGATCTAGCACAGTCTTACAGAAGTCCAGCAACCTTCATGGCATTTACAGCCAAAACTGGATAGTTTCTTTCCTGCTAGACAAAGTAGCAGCAAAATTTAGATTTTGTACAATTGCTGCTATAAAGAGCAAATATCAACACAAAATATATGTGGAACCCAAAAGTGGAAGTTATCTAAGAATTAAAACACAGATTTTACAAATTATGTAAAAATGAACTCCAATTCCTTCAAATTAAAATTGTTTTTAAATTTGATTGTACTATTGCTTGTTTCTAATGAAAATCTTTTACAGTATAAAGTTGCAAAGTTCTATTGTTGTTTTGTTATATAAATTAAAAAGTAATTACTGAAAGTGATGTATTTATCTCTTGCTCAAATTGTTAGCAAAGGCTGACATAATATTAGGGGATCATAGAATCACAAAGCGTGAGAAGCTCAGTGCTGTACAGAAGAAGGATCTACAAACTACTTTAAAAAGTAAGACTCATTTTTAATCTGTTAGAACTATATAGTGATAACCAATATAGTCTATATATGCCCTGATTTCTGAGATATCTGAGGAATCTGGAACTCTCTGTAATGAGACAAATTCAGATGTGCTTGGTTATGCAGAATGTCTTAACATCCTTTTTTTATTTTGAAGACTAGGGATACAATCTAATAACTAGATTTCAACTGCCAGAGACAAGCAACTAGTGATAAGATGTACATATGGGACAGCAAGGAGCATTAAAAAATACAATTTACAGTTAGCCCTTACTAGGCTTCTGGATGTAATTCTGTGGGTAGTTATCATCTATAAAGTCATTTAATGGCATAGACCCTAACGGAGGGGTTGCCAGAGTCCTGTAGTGTCCATCTGCTTTGTGTGCTCCTACAGCATTAACCTGCTTCAGGTGTCACTGCCAAACAGTGTCATTAAGAGGAAACAGAGAACAACCTTTACTGTTGCTCCATTTATGCTGTGCGATAACATCTCTCCTCCTCTGAGATCCACATGATCTCCATCATGCCCATTTTCAAGTATTCTTTAAAATCCCAGCTTTTTCTTAGGTTAAGAGTGATTGGTAGGTCCTTTTGAACTAAAGAGAGATTATTTTGTTCCCTTGGGTAGCTGTTTTATTAATGTTGTTTTTATGGGGTTGTTATTTTAACTTTGTGAAACCACTTTGTTTATAGGGTTGGGCAATCTAGAAATTAATAAATAATAAAACTGTATTTTCAGATATTAATGTACATTGATTATGGAGGGTATAGGTTTGAGTCACTTCCATGGAAGAGGTTGTTTGGTCAATATATTAGCAACAACCTAATATACTGTATATTGATAAATAAACTAAATCAGTTTGGTTAGTTGTGTAGGGTGTGTTTAAAATATAGTGTTTAAACTACAGTATATACTTTATTTTGACTGAAATGTTTAGTTGACACTTTCCTAATGAGTTAGAGTTCTTTGTAGTCTGTTTTGTGGAACACTTGAGTTCTTAAGTTCTTAGGATAAATGTTTAGAAAGACTCAAGTAAATAAAGATATACACTTACTATAATAAAATATGAGTGCATTACTGAAAATTTTGTTTTTTCCCTTCTTACGTGTATGTACCAGTTTCTAAACCTGAAAGAAGATACTCACTTACAGCAATTGTGATATTCATTGCAACTTGCATTGCTGCTGGTGGGTGGTATATATTTTGGCATTCATCAATCCATGCTTCGGAAATTGATTCTAAAGTTCTACAAACATTTAAAAAACAAATGAAAGAGCTCAGGAACACCTATCCAAGTCAAGATGCAATAGTGTGGAACAGAATCCAAGGTACTTTTGAGAAACGTCTAAATTCTTCTCACCCTCATTTGGAACCAGCTATTTTATTACTCACTGCATCAAAAGAAGCTGAAGATGTGTTGAAGTGTTTAAGCAACCAGATTGCTGATGCTTTCTCATCTTCTCAGGGTGCGCTTACAGTAATAATTGATGGGGCCAGCACAAGAGGTCAAGATAGTGACGTTGTCAAAATTACTGTTGATGAAAAGCTGAGCTCTGGTTTTGGGAATGGTAACAAAGCAGCGGTAGTCCATCGGTTTGACTCATTACCCGCAGGTTCCACCCTGATTTTTTACAAGTACTGTGATCATGAAAATGCAGCGTTTAAAGATGTGGCTTTACTATTAACCGTTCTTCTGGATGGGGAGTCCCTAAACAAGAGCTTTTCCTTGTTGGAAGTCGAGGAGAGAGTGAAAGATTTCCTCTGGGCTAAATTTACTAACTCAGACACACCAAAGTCTTATAACCACATGGACACAGACAAGTTGAGTGGCTTGTGGAGTCGCATAGCCCATCTAGTCTTACCTATATGGCCAGAAAATTCCCTCCCTCGAGAGAAATGCTTGCAGATGAAATAAGAAGAGGGAGCAAGAAGAAAATACGTTGCAACACAACATGTATTGTATAAATCTGTGAATGTTTATATAATGAGAAAATTGCAATTTACTAATCAGAATTACTGAAGTTATAGGTGATTCAATATCAGAATAAGATTTCTCCTTTATAAGGAAGCTGATAATCTATAAAGAACTTTTAGATCTTTAACACAATTCTAGTGGTTTATTGGAAATCAAGATTCTATATACTGAGGGGGGGAGAAATCTTGTTCAGGCCCACCCAACTTTGTGTAATATGAATTTTTTTAAAGCATCAAAATCCTTACTGTGATTGTGGGCAACAAGGTAAGAAATGATAGTACTAGATTTCATCTTTCTGCTTGAAGTTTAATGGACTGCAAACTTGAAGTTGAGACCACGTTTTCCTATCGTCTAAGATTTAATTCTGTCTTACTCCATTTCCCAAAACTGCATTAAAAAAAAATCTTGTAACTGTATATTCTGTAAGTTTCTGCTTTGGCTACAAAATTATGTAAGATGTAAACCTGTTGACTGATAGGCTGTTTTTCTCATTTGAAAACAGCCTATAGATATGTTATATGTATAGTTTCAAATAATTATAGTTGCCTAAATCTAAAAACACAAGCCTCTTCAGTTAGACTATCAGTACTAGACAACCAAAGGCTTCCTTCAGATTTATGAGAAATTTGAATTTTTTTATTTGAATTTTATTCGGTCAATGACCAGCAACATTAAATAATAAAATGGGCTATATAAAACAGCGATAGGAAATGCAATCAGGATTGAGAAGGAGAGATAAGTGCATTATATATAAAATTTGATTTCTATAAAAGAAATCAAATATGGTATACTCCATAAACATCTAATTACAATAATACCCCATTTATTTATCTGATAAAGAGGGGGGGGGATTCCCTTGGTGCTCTCTGAACTTCCTTGTTTTCTTGCAGACGTTTCATTACCTTAACTAGGTAACAGCAGTGCTGGGACTAGAGTACCAAGGACCCCTCATTTCAAATACAAATATTCTCCTTTATTATTACTGATAAAAGTAATACAGGTAGTCCTCAACTTACAACAGTTCATTTACTTACCGTTCAAAGTTACAATGGCATTGAAAGAAATGGCATTGTTTTTCACACTTAATGACCATTGCAGCATCCCCATGGTCATGTGATCAAATTTTGGATGCTTGCCAACTGACCATATTTATGACAGTTGCAGTGTCCTGTGGTCACATGATCACCCTTTGCGACCTTCTGACAAGGAAGTCAATGGGGAAGCCAGATTCACTTAACAACCGTGCTACTAATTTAACTACTGCAGTGATTCGCTTAACAAATGTGGAAAGAAAAGGCATGAAATGGGGCAAAACTCACTTAGCAAATGTCTCACTCAGCAAGATAAATTTTGGGCTCCATTGTCATAAGTTAAGGACTACCTTATAATGAAACTATACATTAAAATATGTGTTCTCTAAAAATTACCAAAAAATAACTAAGCAAAGTATTGATAAGAGTAAGGACCGGTAGCGCTTTAACTAGTTTTTCCTTTTTATCATTGTAGCAGCAGCACAAAATTTTGAGTGGTGCATGGATTCAAATACTGAAGAAGATGGTTTGCAAAATAATTATTTGATTCCCCTAGAAATCTCTCTATTAGAGGGAGTATGTACATTGATGTCCCTGTAAAATGCAGCACAATAAGACGTGATATTATCTTCAACTTTCCCATTGTTACAGGTATATATTCGCTCAGCTAGTGGGGTTTTATGCAAAGCAGAGAGGAAAACACGGAGTAAGGTCCAACAGAGATCTAGCACAGTCTTACAGCAGTCCAGCAATCCTCATGACGTACTGTACAGTCAAAACTGGATCATTTTTTTCCTGTTAAACAAACTGGTAGCAACATTGGGATTTTCTACAATTGCAGCTATAAATAGCAAATATTAACACAAAATATGGATTGCTTTAACCTTTGTGAAGCCACTTTTTTGTAGAGTTGGGCAAATTTCATAAATAATAAAACCATATTTGCAGATATTAACACTACATTGATTGTGGAGTGTATAGGTTTGAGTCACTTCATGAAAACTTTGGTCAATTCAAAGAGTTTTAATTTTTTAACAAAAATCTAATATAGTCATAAATATGGACTACATGTTTAATCAGTTTGGTTATTTTGAATATATGTTTTATTGATACATTTTCCTTTTAAAAAACAAAAAATTCCATGTCTATCTGAACAGCATGTGGTCTGGGCACAATTAATTTTAAGTAAAGATACAACGATAACAAAAATCATACTAATCTTAAACATAATAAAACCATTAGTTTATCCATCTTGCAAAATTTCCAATACAAATTTTTATTATCTTTTTAGATTCTGTTTAGTTTCTCTGTTTCTGTTAATCATTGGTAGAATAAATCCCATGTTAAAAAGTATTCTGTTTCTTCCTTTTATCTTAAGTGTCTATCCATCTCAGCACATTCTAATCATTTTTTATTGCACTTTCATCTGTCGGGACCTTGTCATTTTTCCATTGTTGTGCAAACGCTATTCTTGCTGCCGTTACTACATGCAAAATTAAATATGTATTCCCTTTATTATACTGTTCTGGTAGTATACCCAGAGAGAATATTTCTGGTTTCAAATCTGTATATTGCTTTATCATTTTTCTAACAAGTATGTATTTTAGTCCAATATTTTTTTTGCCTTTGGACATGTCCACCACATATGATAATACGTTATCTGGTATATGGTTATACTTCCAACATTTAGCTGATAGATTTTCAGACATCTTTGCCAACCTCTTTGGTGGTAAATGCCATCTATAAAACATTTTGTATAAGTTTTCCTTATAATGTAAGTCGTTGACATTGTTAGCTTGCAATTTCTATCCCACAATTTCTGCCATTTATCGAATTCTATTGAATAACCAAAGTTTTTAACCCATCTTATTGTTTCTTTCACTTGCTGTTTTTCCATGTTAATTCTCAGTAAGTAGCTATATATATATTTTTAATTAATTTTTCATCTGTCCCTACCGTGTTTCTCATATAATAAGGCCGGGTGTTATTTTTTTTTGAGCCCCGAAAAAATGGCTAGGCCGTCTTTTCGGGGGTGACTTAATTCCCCCCCTTGCATCTTCGGGCGGGCGGGCAGCGACGGCTTGGATGTTGACCTCGGCATTGGTGGGGCACTTTGTATTGGGGTCAACGCAGGCAGCACCATATCCGGGTGTGCAACTAAAGTACTTCCTAACGGCAAGCCCCCCCACCATTCCCCCCCATTTTGCATGTTTTAATACAGGCCTTAATTTGGGGGGAGGGGCTTAATTTCATTTCATGCCTATAAAACATGCTGGGACTTCCTATTGGGGGAGGCCGTATTGTTGGAGAAACAGGGTAGTAATATCTGATCTAGTGACCACCATGCTAAATCAATCCCTTGATTAGTCAGTTCTTGTTTGGATTGAAGTTCCCCTTCATCATTCAAAATGTCCTTATACCTTACAATTTTTTCCATATTTATTATATTCAGATGTATCAGTGCCTCCATCGTGGAGAGCCAAACTGATATTTTCATATAATGTCTTTCTTTAATTTTCCCCCATACTAACAGTAGTGCATTTCTAACAAGGTGTCTTGGAAAGTATCCATGTATTTTATTTTTCTCATATCATAGAAAAACATGCCAGCCCAGTTGGAGATCATGTCTCTCCAAAGTTAATAATCTTTTATGCTTCAAATTTACCCATTCTTTCACCCAGGCAAGTGCAGAGGCCTGGTAATATAGCTTCCAATCTGGCAACCCAAAGCCCCCTTTAAGTTTAGTGTCCTGTAGCAGTTTCAATCTTATACTTGCTTTTTCCCCTTGCCAGATAAATTTTAATATCAATTTATTAAGTTCTTCAAATATTTTTTTTCTAATTTTATCAGAATTGTTTGAAATAGGAATAACAGTCTCAGCAAAATGTTCATTTTTATTGTGGCTATCCTTCCTATCAATGATAGCTGCAGGTTTTTCCATTTCTCCAGGTCTAATTTGATTTGCTGTAACAGTTTCATATAGTTCTCTTCTTTAATAGTTGCACATCTTACTGTTAGCTGAATTCCCAAGTATTTAACTTTCTTAACTATCCGAATATCTTCTCCACCAACTTTTTTTTTGTATCTCTGTAACGTTTTTAGTTAATATTTTAGTTTTCTCTAGTCTTTTAGACCAGGGGTCCTCAGGGACCACCAAACTCATAATTTTAAAACCCAGGGACCACTAACCAGTTCTGTGGGTGTGGCCTAATTTGTGGGTGTGGCTTGATGGTCATGTGACTGGCTGGGCATGGCTTGTATGTAAATATTATAAATATTTATATAAATGTTGAATTTTTTTTATTAAAGAAAGAGCAACTTTTACCCAAAATCAGGCAAAGCAGGCAGGCAGATTGAGTTGCTCACAGAATCAGTGATCTATCTATTTGCCATCGGCTAGCTCAGTCTCTCAAATTTGCTTGCCGTGAGTCTGCACTGAATAATAGAACCTTCAGTCCTAAGGGAGGTTCGGCTGTGCTTAAAAGCAGAGCTGAAGATCTAAAGACTAGCTAGAAAGCAAGAAATCCAACCATTTCCTACTTCCTAGCTAATCTAAATCTCCCGGCACAGCAGAACAGCTGATGGTCGAAAAAGGAAAAATAGCAATTTAGCAGGCAAGTTTTCCGGGTAAAGAGTGAGTGGGCAGGGAAGGTTCCCGCGGGCCATGTGGGCGGCCTCATGTTTCTGTTCAGCTTGGATTAATTGCTTTGGGGGTGAGATTTCTTTGTGGCCCACCAAAATTTTCTCACAGCCCACCAGTGGGCCACAGCCCACCGGTTGGCGACCGCTGCTCTAGACCAAGCCAAATCCTAAAGTGTTAGGGAACTTCTGGAAGCCTGGCATTCAGACAAACCAGCCATCAATAGAAACATAGAGATAAACCACATTTACACACAATTCAAAAGAGACAATAAAAAAGGCTAAGAAGGAAACAAAAAGACCAGAATCCATCCCCTCCAGCAGCCTACATGCTGATAAGCAATCAAGCAGAAAATAATACTCTGACTAAGGCACTACCGAGAAGAAAACTATACAACCAACACTGGCTAGGGCTAGGCAAAATACAGATAGTCCTTGACCTATGACCATAATTGAAACCACAATTTCCATTGTTAAACAAGACAATTGTTAAATGAGTCATATCCAATTTTATGACCTTTTATGACCAAATATGAATTTCCCGATTGACTTGTCAGATGCTAGCAGGGAGCGTTGCAAATGGGGATCCATAGGGATGCTGCAATGGTTGTAAGCAGGGGTGGGTTGCTGGGGGTTCAGGAGATCCTTTAGCTAAGATTCTGCATAGTTTGGAGAACCTCCAAATCCCACTCCTGGCTGACCCCACCCACCCTGCCTCTCCCCTTCCAGGAGTTCCCACGTGGCCCGTTTTGGATGCAGGTAAGTGCAGGGCGTGCATGGAGGCTAGGGGAGGGTGAAAAACAGGCCTCCCAAAAGTTTGGGAAGGCCGGAAACTGGCACATTTCCAGCTTCCAGGGAGCCTCCAGAGCCCGGGGAGGCTGTT